CCAGAGGAGGGACAGTGGTTTGGACATGTCCAGAGGAGGGACAGTGGGTATACTGGTAGAAGGATGTTAGAAATGCAGCTGCCAGGAAAAAGACAAAGAGGAGAAATATGGATGCAGTTAGAGAGGACATGGAGGTAGTTGGAGAGAGGACAGAGGATGCAGAGGACAGAGATGGAGGAGGATGACTCACTGTGGAGACCCCTAAAGAAGAAAAAGCCGAAAGAAGAAGAAAAAAAAAGAAATGATGATCTAATGACTAATTTGACTGAGCTAAGACCAATGTGAAGCGTTGGTTTGGTGTCTTCTGTCTCAGAAATGTTATACATAATTACGATATTCCATCCATGGTAGTGCAGAGGTTAGAGAAGGGGAGTCTATGATAGGAAGGTTGTCGACAACATCAAAATGTGGGTGAGAAAGGGGAAGCACCCACACCTGCCTCCACCCTCATTTGCCCCAATCTGGGCCCAAGTAGGTATCTCTGCAGACAAAAACGGAAGGCGTATTCAGAGGGTCACATCTGATTGGACAAAAATTTTAAAAGGCTGAACCAAAAAAACAAGGCGTTTGTGTTAACCACAGCCATATTATGTCTATGGTGTTAACAGAATCGAAATTAGCGGCGTCCCTGGTTCGAAATTGGCAGCGTCTCCATACCTTCTCTTCCGCCTCTCTTAACACAGAACTTCCGGTTACATTTCAAAATAAGAGCAACATAACTGGGTAATAATACTAATACCTAGCCATTACATTAAAAAACAAAATCTGTTTTGTTTGTTGAACAATGTGAAAATAGTTACGACTGATTCATAAATGAAGAAAAATAAAGTAACCAAAATAATAATGATACTTAAACTGGCTTTAGGACAAAGGATGTTTCCTTTAACTTCACATTTTCTTGTTCAACGTTTAAATCAGTCACTGCAGATGAGTGATTGTCAGTTTCTGTCAGATTTCTGTAACTGGAGCAGGTATTTCTGTTTACTGGTTAACTTCCTGAGCTGTCTCACATTTTAAGGGTCAGTTCATGTTTCAGCTCCTTTCATAGATCAGATCTCATAGAAGACACTTCTAAAGAGAACATTTTGTTTTTAGCTTTTGTTTTGGGCCGTTATCTCGTTACAGGACTCATGATCTTTAATTGAGACCAGACTTTTTGACAAATGGGAGCAGGTTTCGCTTCAGATGCTTCATATTTTATTGTACCCAGACTCAAGCCAACCTGTGTCAGGTGCAGCTACAACCCAAGGACTAAAGAGAATCTTCTTGTGTTTTACAGCAGATATAACTTTGTTTCTTAGAAACCTTCAGTTTTAAAAAAGAGCTGACGTAACTTAAACAAAGAGCAGCAAATACAGTTAGACAATCAGTGTTTGTCCTCTAGAAATGCCTATTCTCCAGTAATCCCCACTTTTGGTCTGCAGACCCTTCTCATCTGGTCCCTTGAGCAAGACCCTTAACCCCCACCAACTGCTCCTCTGGGTGCTCTAGATGCTCTCTGCTCCACACAGAGGACTGTGGTAGCTTGGTGGTGTAGTTGCATAAGAATGGACATACGGCGATAAAGCAGTTGCCAAGTCTTCAATCCAATTGGTTTGCTGTGGCGACCCCTGAAAAAGGGAACAGCCGAAAGAGAGAAAGAAAAATTACAATATTCCATCCGATGTGTGATAGTAATATTGAAATTATTTTTACAAATGCTTCTATGTCAAAAAAATTGGGTAAAGTTAAATTAATGGCAATTTAAAGATAAAGCATTTTCATGAAATGCTATAAAATATTTAGGTTGGAGTTACTTACATGGCAGCAGTTGACTTTTGCCTTAGCTTCATTCAAATTTGAGTGGCACAAAACCATGCAAAATATAAATCACCCATCTTTATTTGCTGCTTGTTCCAGTGTCGGGTTGAGGGGGCAGCAGTTTGACCAGGAAGGCCCAAACATTTCTTATCAAAACCACCATCATCCAGCCCCTTCAGGAGGGTTCCAAGGCATTCCCATGCCGGCTGAGAGACATGGTTTCTCCATCGTATCCCGGGTCTCCTCCCTATTGGACATGTCCGGAACAACTCTTTGCTTAGGTGTTTAGGGAGCATCCTTAC